GGGGATACTTGACTTTGTCAGTTTCTCCTGTGATTCAAAAGGGTCCTCAAGTCCCTGCTTACTCAAAATCCATATTCTACGGGCTTCCCGCTGCTTGTCTTGTGGTTACCTGGCTGTTGTCGGCCGGTAGCCGAGTGGTCTTCACGCCTGGCTTGCAATTGTAAGGTCACCGGTTCGAATCCACTTGGGGTGGGCTTCCTCGCGGTATACTCAGCTCACACGCGACTGATGGTGGTCACGCGGCAGCGAAGCCCCGTTACAGCGTACAGCTGACGGCTCTCATTTTTATCTTACATGCCTATTGCTTTCAGGAGTTAAGCTTTGTCACGTTGCTCCGCTCCAAACAAATTCGGGTCTTACAAATGTCATCGATTCAGTACTGTTTGGATTCATCCTCACCCGCTTACATCCGATAAATTTCGTCGTGCCTGCCAATTCCTGCGAGGCTCATTCTCCATCTGGTGGTTTCGCATTCCTCGAATAACTCAGAATTTTGGTCATACGGACTTCTCATTTTTCTTGAGTTTCCCCCTGGTTAACTTTGCTGTAGAACTTTACCCACCCCTTGACATAGCTCCTGTATCACGTGGAAACTTTTTGTCTTATCTCTATCAGGCTCTTTGCCCTGTTTATTCATACCTTTTACGCTTAATGATTCCATGTCCATACGAACGAATTACGCCTGGTAAGACCCGACCGAATGTATCGTTCTTTGCTTAATTAGTTGCTGCAAACCCGTCAACGTCTTACTTTCCCTTGACCACTAGCCTACTTTTCACGATGCAGTGGCTAAAAGAGTCTGTCCTAGGTTGTCGCCAAGTCTACCACTAGCTGGCTCAGACACAATGCGGTAAGCTTAAGTGCTCAGAACTAAGGACAGACTCGACTAGCAGAATACAATGGGACATCTGCAGTTGTTTTCTCTCTCTGAAGATGCACTGGTTTGAGCTCAGCATAATACGGTGTCATGGCGAGCAGTGAGTTTTCTCTTTAGTTGTCCTACTTGTTGCTAACGCAATACTCAGCGAGGTCCACTTTCGGATGCAAGATTTTTGACACTAGTTTTCAGGTTAGAGAGTATTGAAAACTTCTCTCCTTGGTGCCCGACCTAAACCGGAAAGTGAATGTAATCGTAGATAGCCTTGAAAACGCAGGTATACCTGGCCTGCGGAATATTGTGGGTTTGTGCAACTCATCGGACGCGATCAGGTTGACGATCTTACCTCTTCCTATGTGTACGTCTTCTGTTAATGACGACCAGTCAGACGGTGTATTTGGCTCTGTTCATAGTAAGGACGATTTGCAGGCTACTGTGCCTGTGTCAAATTAGCGAAGTAAGACCTTCCTTTAAAGTGCTAGCGAAGGGGGACGCGTCGTGTATAGCAAGTCCCTTGAATACAACACCACCGGAACTGAGTCATGCCGTTCCACTAGCTCCATAAGCTTCGCCTTGTGCAACCATCAATTCTACATAGTCGCATATATCGCATGTGCACCCATCCCGTGATTCTGTAACACACGTCGGGACGAATTGTATATGGATGGTACCTTGATCTTGAGAAACGTTGTGGAATTCTATGCCGCATTTCTCAGGGAAAGGATGTTACATGATCTCAAATGGTTTAAAATTTGCGTTATTAGCATCCTCCTGGTTAGCTTTTTTGGAGTGACCGTGCGTAAGCTAACCAGACTGGGAGGCGTGCCAGTCAGTAGTCCCAACCCTAGGCCTCGCCTTCTACGAGTGATTCTTTCCACACCGGAGGAGCGCCATACTCTTATGCGATTTGCTTTTAAATTAAAGGATTCTGTAGTCAACATACAGCCGGACCTTCCTCTAGCGGATGAGGTGAAACTGAAGGCAGCTATCCAAGACCTCAAGTCACGTCGCGCTGCAGGTGAAAGTGGTCTGCGGCTGGTGGGTGGTGCGCCGGCGGTCCACTTCCGCCATGCCAGGGCCCACCCTGTTGGCTCACGATCCTGGGCTCACCATACCAATACCTTCCATGTAATACTCAGTAACGTCTGTAGCCTCCGTAACAAGATGTGCGAAGTTGGCGTCATCACTTTTGCTGAAACGTGGCTGTCTTCGGACTTCATGGACAGTGAAATATCCCTACCTGCTTACGCACTATTGTGATCTGATCGTCCCTGTGGCCGTCGCGGACATGGATTTGCACGCCTGTTTAATTGTTTCCAAAGCGTTCCACTCAAATGAGAGGAGGGTTGATGCTCTTTCGGTTAGTATATAGGAGCCCTGGTAGCGTTTCCAGAAAGCTTATCGTTTTCATTCACCGTCACTCCACTAACCGATGCTTGCTGATGGGTGACTAACTTTCTGAAGATAGACTGGCGCAACCTCATCTACAAGACTGCGACCGTAGACTTAGCCGCCGAGCTAGTGGAGTTGACATTGTAAGCCCCCCCTGCATCAGTTTGTAGATCAGCCCATATGGTTCATGGAGGAGCACTCTCCGTCCATTCTTGCTTACTTTTGCAAAGTCGATCCACCATAAGTAACATCGTTTACGGTCAACCACCTGGAGTTAGGGACCATGCCTGCGTCTCATTCGACTATGCTTTTAGTAGAGCCCAAGCAAAACGCGGCTAGGTGTCCGAAAATCTGGGGGTGCTAATTGTCATGCATTGGGATCCAGTGCTACCCTGTCACACTACACCATTTGGTAGCAGACAACATTCAGATGGCTTAAGATAAGTTCAAAACATTCCTTTCTGAGGTGCGTCCTACATTGCACTTTCATTTAGAAGAAAACGCCAGACTATTCTGCTCTTATTTAACTGCACGTCAACTTGCACAGACGGTCCAAGTGTTGCCGGGGCTACATTTTGACTCAATCAGACGATGCCTTACGGTGTTATCGAACAGCAAGAAGTGCATGTAAGAAGCATCTAATGGAAGCTTGACTTATTTATGAAACGGAATTAACAAACATCTCCATCAACACCGACGCGGTTTTTCACTTATGTCAGAAAATGAGGGCGTGCTACTTTATCGATTCTGGCGTTGTACGGATCAATTGGGGTTGCCGCCCACCGTGATTACGGCAAGGCCTGTCTTCTTGGCGAACAGTATGCGAGGATGTTTGTCATAGTCTCCTTTACCAACTATCGATCTAGAGGAGATTTCCTTCTGACTCCTTAGTAACTGATATCCGTGTCGGAAGCCCAAGTGCTTTCACTGCTGCTGGAGCTAATTCCTACCAAATCCGCTGGTACCGATGCCATTTATCCGAAGTTTCTATTTGAATTGGAAAACACATTTTGTGAGCCGGCAACGCGCTTGTTCGCAAAGTCTTGCCAACTGTGCGTTACCTACTGACTGATAGGAAGCTGTTGTCTGCCCTTCTTTAAAAAGCATGATAAGCACTTTCCTGTAAATTGCAGGCACATTAGTCTAACCAGCGTGCTGGTTAAATTGCTAGAAAAGCTGGTGAGAAATTCCCTCGAAAACCATTACATGCTGTTTGGTCTTCTCATCCCATTTAAACATGGTTTTTGCAAACGATATTCCTATCTGACAAATCTGTTGTTTGCTCGAGAGAGCTGGACGGAGTCTGTCGACCCGGGTCAGGCAGTTTATGAACTGTTCTTTGAGTTCTCCCATTTTGTGCCTAGAATACAATTTTTTTCTTCCTTTTCTTATTGCGCGTGGTCGGCGCAGCAGGGGCTGCTAGCGTAGGGCGCGTGGGTTTGATTTGGTTGTGCACGTGCCGATTTGGCTCATACAACTGGCCAATCATACACCGAGTTCGAACCTGGATCAACGACCCATTCAGGCTGGAACGACTATTGGCATCTACTTTTGTTCTTATCACATTTGAATTTGAACCACTGTACTTTTATGGAAATTTAGTAGCAAGGCTTCGTACAGTGATATTTGATGTTGATCCACGCAAGTGCAAAGATTGCTCTTTTTCTCGCTTCATTTCTTTTTGCTTAAACAGGTAGAGATGATCAGATGTCGGAGTGTCGATGGCTCTGGTTCGCGTGTTGCACGGAAGTCTGTGTTGTTCGTAGGTCTTGACCTGACCTTACCTAAGATGTCGTGGAGCCTAGCCTAGATTGTGATCATCGTTTCCAATTTTCTTTATCTTCCTATTTTGTTTTTGGTGTCGTTAGAGTAACCATCTCTAGTGCGTGTTTTTGTCATCCATCCAATCACCTCAGGCTCTGCTTTCCATCGACAGCTGTGACAACGACGTCCAGCTGAAAATGATAAGTAAGTCAGGCGCACTGTTCACCCAGCTCCTACTCTTGTTTGGTGGTTGTGATGAAACTGTCCAGCCACCTACGAATTACATATTTTACCTATTAGCCCCCTCTGTCCATTACGGATCACGTACGCCCCGGAACCCAAACCCCACGGAACCCTCGACCGAACGCATACTACATATTTGGCAACCCTACCAGCTCATAACGCCAGTCTGTGAAACAGAATTGCGACCGTTGCATTGATCACTAGCATTCCCACACACGGAATCGTCTGAGCCCATCACTGCGCTCATCAGTCTAAGTGCGTCAGCAAGTTGACATGGGTTAATGCTTTTGTAGACGCTGTAGACAGCGCTTCATGAGGGGGGGGATAATGTAGCGCGTCAGGGTATCGCTGTGTCAAGTCAACGGTCAAGATGTCGTCTAGCGTAGCCTTGAGTGCCATTGTTGTTTCCCCTTTCTTCACCTTCCCTTTTCGTTTTTGGTGTCCTTAGAGCAATCATCACAAGTGTGTGATTTCGCCATCTGCCCAGTCACCTCAGATTCTGCTTTCCATCGACAGCTTTGACGCCGTCCAACTGACCATGTGGTGTGAGTCAGGTGCACCCTCCATCTAGCTCTGACTCTTACTGGGTGGTTATGTTGGAACTGTCTAGCCGCCTACGAACTATCTCTTTTACTTTTAGCCCTCTCGGTCTATTACGGCCCACGTACGCCCCATAACTAGAAAACCTCGGAAACGTCGACTGGACACATACTACAATGATGTCATGTGCACATACGCGCTTTCTCCTTCCGATCCTTCTCCGTCCTCTTACTTCTGCTGTGGCTCAAAGTATGCGTTGTTTCAGTTCACAGACCAAAAGAAAGTTGGTAGTTTATTACCCATCAATACATTTTAGAGTTTCCATTACTTTTTCATTTCCGGACGGTCGAAGGAGAACTGTTGAAGCCAATGTCGGCGATACTTTACTCGATGTTGTCATCGATAACGAGGTTGATATTGACGGCTTTGGTAATGTGGGCATGTTCTTACCGGCTTGTTGTAGGCGCATGCGAAGGAGAGCTTGCTTGCTCCACCTGCCATCTAATTTTCTCTCCCAAGGATTATAAAAATTTGAGTAATCCATTGACCGTGGAAGAACAGGATATGCTAGACCTAGCAACTGGGCTCACGGAGACGTAAGTTACGAACAACAGTCGAAATTAGGTTGAAAACTTAACAGATCCTTTGATTTGCAACTGAATAACGCGTTGGCATTGACACGTGTTACGTACGCCCGGTTACCGCTTACCGGTGAGAATATCGTCTGCCAGATGTAGGGTGGCGCAAGGCTCGACGTGGCAAAATGTTGACTTATCGGCGAGAAATGAAGTCACTTACGACCAAACTGGATACCATTGATCCGTATCACCTTCCCTGCTGGAGTCCACGTGACTCGCCTTGTTCTTGACTCAAGACTTTACAGAACATTATTCGCAGTCAACACTAGTGGCGTGTTTGCTGTCGTTTTCTAGTCGGACTGCTTGTTTAAGGTGTGTTTGGTGCTGAGTTACCTGCAGGCTAATGGCTGATTATGACGCGGAGCAGTGAAAGCCACAAGAAAGCTGTTTCGCTGATGCTTCCTTATTTTTGAACGATAGCCAGATGTTTGTGATGGTATGTTGTTGACAAGGTGTAGGCGCCTTGATCCTGAATGATTGCTTGGGGAATTAAGCTTTTCTGCTAAGTCCCCCTTCTCTCCCTGTTATTATTCTTTGTTCTGTAGGTCGTTGTATGGCAGCGATGCATAACTTCACATGGTTGCTGTTTTCTTGTTGCATTTTTCTGAAAGTTGTAACCTTCTCCCAGTTCTAGTGAAACTAGAACCATAGGATATTTCCGTGGGTATTCTTTCTTTGGCGGGTCGTTGAACCAAGATGTGACGAAGGGCTTTGAAGTGTACATGGTCCTAAAAAGAAGATCGCATCACACCCTCTCCAACCAATTACTTCCCATGTATCCTGCACTCGCAGGCCCTGCTGGGTCGATTACGTAAAGTGAGAACGAGAAAATAGTATGATCAGAAGGCAAGAAGATGAACGTGGCTTAATAAGCATAGCACTAAGGTGTATATATATATTTTGCAAAAGTCTGCTGACAGACATAATGCCATTAGAAACCATGGGATTCAAACGAAGGTACAGAAACAGTAAAATAAGAAACAACACAACAATGTCCATGGTTTCCTCAGAGGGCGAAATACTACCCGGTTGCCCAAGCCGAAGTAGGGTGTTGACTTAGGGGACACCACCCCGAGCCTTTGGCTGAATAGCCTGTCCGCAAGGCAGCGGAGCGAATTCAGGGAATCGCGCCCATTGGGAGCCGGTGACTGATTGCTCAGTTCATACGCCTTTCGTTTGTTCCTTTGCCAAACAGGGGCCCAATACTCCCAGAACTACAGCATGATGTTGCTGGAATACAATGCTTCGCCAGGATGCGCGGGTGCGCGCTACTGACAAGTCCGGATCGGACGAACCGGCCGTCTAGCTCTTTCCTGAATGTATGGTGGCTGTCTGCCTGTATCTAACTGCGACACACCTACACAACCTCCTCGTGGTGCCAGCTGGGTGGTTCGGGTTTTTCCCGTTCCAGCGAATGGTTCGGCGGCAGTGTTCCAGGACGTGGTGGGTTTTCGCCTGGCAAGCGTTCTCCCTATAAAAAGCCACATATGTCCGTTTAACAACACTGCGACGTGGCGGATGTGACTCGCCACTAAATAAAGTCACTGCCCCTTGCCCCTCCCTGAGAGGCATTGTACTTTAAGGGTGAGTTGGGCCCCTGGTCCTTCACGGACCGAAAGGCGTATGAACCATCTACTTGGTCACCGGCTCCCAACGGGTTGCGACGCCCTCACATCGCCCTGCTGCCTTGTAGGTTAGATCTTTGATCAAAGGCTCGGGGTAGGGCCCCCTAAGACAACCCTCTACTTCGGCCTGGGCAACCGGGTAGTATCACGCCCGCTGACGAATCATGGACTCCACCGCTCACTACTACTACTTGCCATGCCGCTCTTCTGTCTTAACTCAACCGCTCAACGTCCACTCACAGACCACCCCACCTCCCGTCCTTCATCTACATGTACTCTTATGTCTTCTACGGTCACCGTCACAAACGACCCACGTCTCGCAGCTGATGGAAGTAACAGCCAAACTCCCGGTTCTCCATGTCCTGCGATCGCAACCGCCTCTCACTCCACCGAAGCTCCAGCTCTTCTCCGACCTGGTTCTCCATTCATCCTCGCAGCGTTTAATGTTCGAACTTTGATGCAGATCGGACGACAAGCATGTCTGGCCCGTACTCTTGAAACGCTATCGGTAGACATCTGTTGTCTTTCAGAGACCAGATTACAAGACTCTAGCGCCGTCATCAGAATGGCCTCTCCGGTAAACTCTGACGCCAAATACTACTTGCGGCTTTCCGGAGACCCAGAATCTACCGCCACTGGTCAAGCTGGTGTTGGGGTTGTATTAAGTGCCAGGGCTGAATCAGCTCTGCTTGACTGGATCCCAGTCAACAGCCGACTATGTGCAGTCAGACTAAGAGGTTCATGTAACGTAAGCAGGCGTCGAGATGTTAAGCGTGCCTTATTTGTCGTCTCCGCCTACGCCCCTACAGACTGCAGCCCGGATGCAGTTAAAGATAGCTTCTACCAACAACTACATGAACTTCTGCGTTCCTCCAAACGGACGGATATAGTCATTCTTGCCGGGGACTTTAACGCACGGGTTGGCCGCCTTCTACCAAGCGAGCACCACATTGGGGGTAGTTTTGGTCTCGGTGGCAGTCGATCAGACAATGGAGACAGATTACTTGCTCTTTGCTCTGATCATAGCTTGTTTCTTTCGAGCACTAGTTTTCGACACTCGAGGAGACAGACTGCTACCTGGCGCCCGCCCTCACAAACGCAAGAGTGCTCCCAGCTTGACCACATAGCAATCAGCTACAGATGACGCGGAAGCGTAATGGACTGCCGATCGTACTGGTCAACTTTTCTGGACTCTGATCACGCATTGGTTCGTGCTAAGATTTGCATGCGTTTCGGAGGATCACCTAAGCGCGCCCACTACCGACCGGACGTCGCAAATCTACAAAACGCTGCGGTTTTAACCAGGTACCAAGCCTCACTGTCAACTTTGCTTGGCTCAACTATTGACGGTGATCTCGATTCGCAGTGGGCGCATATCAAAGATGCGTTAGTTTTCGCCAGTATCGACACTTGTGGAGTTACCCGTCACCCACCGAAACATTGGATTTCCGCCGACTCCTTGTCGCTGATGGACAAACGCCGCTTGATCCCATCGGATTCGAGACACGTTGAAGAACGCCAATACCTTGGTCGAGAGTTGCGCAGGAGTCTGCAAATGGACCGCGAAGCTTGGTGGTGTGAACGTGCTAGGGAGATGGAGCTTGCTAGTCTCTGTGGTAATACCAGGAAACTCTTCCATCTCCTTCGAGTCACCGAAGGTGTTCGATCTGGTATAAGTGAAACAATATGCGAAGAGGATGGCACCTTAATCACCAATCTTCAACGACGGTTGGAGCGATGGGCCGAACATTTTGGCTCGCAGTTTTGTTGGCCCCCAGCTCCATCTGCTACCTCTGGCGCTCGCGCTGGGGCCGAGTGGTCTACCCCAACAGACCCTCCCTCTTCCCAGGAAATCGAGCAGGAGCTCCGGCACCTGAAGCGTTATAAAGCTCCCGGCCCTGATGGTCTTCACCCAGCTCTATTTAAAGATGGTGGCGCATCGCTGGTCCGAGAACTCACCGTTTTGTTCTCGAAAATTTGGTCGAAAGAGAAGGTTCCATCATCTTGGGGTGAATCGATAGTCGTACCCATCTTCAAAAAGGGCCTGCGCACAATCTGCTCCAATTACAGAGGAATAAGTTTAGTCCCCGTCGTTTGCAAGCTGCTGGTGTCCATCATACTTCGCAGGCTATCCCCAACACGCGAATCGTTGCAGCGAGAAGAACAAGCTGGGTTTCGCCCTGGTCGCGGCTGCATCGATCAAATCTTCACACTTCGCCAGATCCTCGAGCTCCGCCATGTGTATCAGAGGCCAACGATTGCTGTGTTCCTGGATATCCGTGCTGCCTTCGATTCTGTCGATCGTACAGTACTGTGGCAGTGCCTTCTGAGGAACGGTGTCCCCGAGAAGTTCGTCTCCATACTGCGCGCTCTGTACAGTCTGACCTCGGGCAGGGTTAGGGCTTATGGCATGCTTTCGCCTACCTTTGTGGTCTCCAGTGGAGTTCGACAAGGATGCCCTATCTCTCCGTTCCTATTCAACTTTGCCATTGAGGATGTCCTGAAGAACGCTCTGAGCGATTCGTTGAACGCTGGCGTTGAGCTCCTCCCAGGTAGTCGAGTTGTTGATTTGGATTATGCTGATGATATCGTCTTGCTAGGTGACGATCCACAGGTCGTCCAACTTGCATTAAACCGCTTGACGATTGAAGCATCAAAGTATGGTATGTGCTTTTCGCCATCCAAATGCAAGGCTCTCCTTCAAGACTGGCAGGTGCCTCTGCCTGCACTCACGCTTGCTGGTGAGACACTGGAGGTTGTGGAGAGCTTTGTCTACTTGGGAAGTTGTATCACTGCTGGCGGGGCTGTTGGAGACGAGATTTCGATGCGCATCTCGAAAGCACGCCTCGCTTTTTCTAGGCTGAGGCATTTGTGGCGTCGCCACGACATTCGTCTCTCCATCAAAGGGCGGGTCTATTGTGCAACTGTTCGTGCTGTACTGTTGTACGGATGCGAGACCTGGCCCATTCGTAAAGATGACTTGCGCAGGCTATCCGTCTTCGAGCATCGCTGTCTGCGGTCCATTGCCCGTGTGTGGTGGCAGCACCACGTAAGCAATGTGGAAGTTAGACAGCGTGTCTTGGGACGTGGAAGCCACTCGCTCGAGGAGCTCATCTCACTGCATCAACTGCGGTGGTTGGGACACGTATTGCGCATGCCTGTCCAGCGTTACCCCCGTCGTGCGTTGTTTGCACTTGCTGGACAGGGCTGGAAGAGACGGTCTGGTGGACAGCCTACAACATGGAGAAGCCGCATGAAAAAGTTGACGAAACAATTGGCCTCGGCCGGTTGTTGTCGACTACCTGGTTGGGGTCCGAGAGACGAGGATACTTG